CGTTCGTAAAAATATTGTTTTCACCACCCGAAGATAAAAGTCATATCTTCGCGCCGCCGTGTAATATCCTCTATGTATATTCCATGTAGTTGCATGAATTTTCTTCTTTCGCTAAATGCTTGCATGAATTTTTTTCAAACTTCACTCTGCATGAATCTGCCACCAACCCCCCCCTTCTCCCAGGATATCTAATGGTCCGCCCCTTAATGAAGCTTCTTTATCTTGGAGACAAATATCAACATCTATCTCGCTGTTCGCTTAGCTCAAGGCCGCACAGAGAAATTTGGTTCTCCATTGTCAAAGATTCTTGAGATTATGTGCTCATTTAGAAATTGATTTATTGAATTTTTAGGACATGTAATGGCAATTCCAGCTTTTTATTTATGCTGAAAACCAAAACAACCGAAATATTTCAATATTTAGAAGTATAAGCTACAGGGTCCCTACCTTTTAGTGAAGATGAAATTCAAGGACTTTTCCAGGACTTTCAAAGACCTTTTTCAGTATATTCAAGGACCTGGCAACTGGAAAAATCTTTGAAAATCATCTAACTTTTATCCTTAAACTTAAGGATAGGAATGCAATTAGAAAAAAAATGACATCGAAACAACTTTTGGACAATTGTTATACATAATTTTAATTGAAATTGGAGAAAATAAACATTTGGGCAGTAATCCTTGGGCTGGTAATAATTCTTCAATTATTTCCAGCCTACTGAAAAAAAATTCCAGGACTTTCAAGGACCTTATCAGTTTCCAAGGACTTTCCAGGCCTGGATTTTTCCAGGACTTTCCAAGATTTTCAAGGACCGTGGGGACCCTGAAGCTATCACTCCGTGTTTACACGGCCACCAGTTTTATTTTTTCAGCATAATCAGCAATATGATACCTTACTTCCCATCCATCCCTGCACACATAAACTAAAAGCTGGAATTGCCTATTAACGAGATCATTTCCTTTGGTTTTGATGTTAATTCCATTTTCTATACATATTCAAAGAACTTTGAAATCCAGAGTCACTACAGGGATTAATAACAAATTCCAGCATTGTGGAAGAATATTTAACAGTGATTTCTAATTTTCTATGCATATTTTACTTTGTCGTTATTTGGGGGCTCGCATTGCCCTTTTAAATTTGCCCCCTCCCCATCTGGGCGGCCCTGGGCTTAGCATGTGCGTATGTAGTGTCTGTGGTAGTGCAGTCATCTCCAACTATACACGCAGGCTAGTTAACCTAGACCACATGTACGTGGGTTCCACTAAGTATACAGCACATGCTGCAGCACATGCTGCATCACTACAAAGTGTTCACCAGAAATACTGAATTTGTTTTGGTGGCAAATACACGTAATAGAAATATTTAGCACCATATCATGCAGCTTTCAGTGGCTACAATATGGGGCTACACATGGTCAGTGCCAAATCATGGTGAATACCAAATATATTTACACTTACGGAAGCGAGCGAACGATACTCAACGTTTCCACTGCATTTATTTGTCAACTTCAAATGTATCGAAACGTATTGGGGCGATTTTATGCAACTGCAGCCTCGGTCAAACGAGAGTGAGAGTTCATGAGAGTTAGCAGTCACGAAGTGTTACAGGGGACATATCAAGTTCTAGATTAACAAAATAAAGGTTTAAAAATTGTTCCAACTATATTTTGACTTCAATAAAATACATGATAGTGTTGGGAAAACATTAAGAACAGCACAGCTATAACCAAGGTCACGTGACTGCCAATCTTCATGCACTCTCATTTGATCCGGGCTTACGTGCCTCCATTGCGTGTGTTTGCCACATTCTATAGATGGAAAAATTTCTGCCACTTAAATTACTTGAGAGTTTTATCATAGCGGACCTGTCTACGCTTTCGAGCAGTAAAACATTCATACGTTCTATCAATCAACGTAATTATCAACTGTTTTTAATAGAGAACGTGTATTATCATTTTTTCAGCTCACTGATTAATGATGAACTCAGGGCCTGGCTGTACCAGTTTTCGAGCAGTACGTTCAACATTTACGTTTTATCAGCAGGGCTTAACTGTTCTATAACAGACAGAACATGAATGGTCATTTCTTTCAGTTCACTGATAACTGATGGTAAAGTGAACTCAGGTTTGGACATTGCCATTGCTCCAGTTTTTTTCTCGACCAAATATCTTGCGTATAATTTGGTTAAATATTCAACAGCATCTTGATCACTATCAGTGTGTAATATTTCTCTGAAAACATACAGAGTTCTTACTGCAAATTCTGTGTTATTTGTGTGGAGGTTCCTCATTATTGATTCTATCACACTGGTATAAGTATGAGTATCACTGATGTCCTGCTCGAACGGCTGCTCAGCTGACGCGTGTTTGACCGACACCACGGCTGAAGCAATTTCATTTCTTACCAGACCAAGTTTGTTTGTAAGATCCACAATCTAGAAACGTCAACAGTGAAAGCCATCAATTTTAAATGTGGGTGAAGATAGTAGTCTACTTTAAGCTGTCGTGATTTATGTGTGAACTTCCTGAAAAACGTTAAAACACTTCGACGTTCGAGTAAAGGCCCTTCGCCAGGAGTGAAGGCTTTTCGTTGATAACGTCGTGAAAAAGAGCATTCCAGTACATTCAAAGCGTGCTTTGGACCATAAAATCATTCAATGTTTCATATATAAAATGAACAAAATAAATTCAAAAGACAACGCCATAATTTTACATCTGATCAACTATCAAATTCTCAGAAAGTAGTTGAAAAAATACAGGACATTGGCTACATGCAGGCTTCATGTCAATTGACTGTTGAAAATAACGTCAGGCCAGGGGCATAACCAGCCCCAAAAGAGTGGGGGATCTAATTGTCCGTCCGGCCAGAGGGCATGGAAAATGTTTCTACTTTTAGGGTCTGTGAAAAGCTTTTTCGTGCATTTCAGACACGTTTTATGATATTCTGAAAGCCACAGATTTCGTATAGTTTATGTCATAGATGAAAACATTAAGAGGTGACGTTCTCCTCAGTTTTGAAAGAGCTACAGAAGTATGGGGGTGGGTGGGTCCCCAGTGGACCACAGTGCCCCCCTCTCCCCCGTGGCTACGCGTCTGCGTCAGGCAAAAACTGAACCTACTGTGCTTTCGAAATGTCACTTTACAATAAAAGATAATGCGTCGTAGTGCATTAAAAGAGTCCAATGTTAATCAACTTACATCGGCTTTACTTGCTTGTTTCTGAAGATGTTCAAACAATCTTGAATAACTGTCTAAAAGCAGCAGAACTTGAAAATGTAGTTTATACAGTGCCCAACATAGTGCTATTTCATAATCCTCGTATTTGCTTTCCTCTACACTCAACATCTCTCTATCTTGTGAAGATGGATATTCCCCCTGAGGCTTAGCTGCATTTCGCAATCTTTCTAAAGCTCGTCCTGCATTGTGAAACATTTCTTTATAACTTCTGTAGTGATCATCAATCTCTAGCACCATAAACTTCTGTCGTTCTAATATCTTGGAGCGCCGCACAGTCTCGCTGTCCATATACACATGCGGACATTGACCTTGAACATCTACAGTTTCGAGAATTTCAACGAATAATGATGTGACACCAAATAAACTGTTGTCTAAGACATTACAACATTGTCTTGTTATCTCATTCACTCTACGACGTATTTGACGCAGCAATAAAGCGAGCAATGCAAACGTATTGACAGCAGTAGAGCCTGAAGTATCATTGACAAGGGCTGTAACATGTGATCTCCATTGTTCATCAATATTATGTGTATCAAGTACTGACGTCACAAATCTTGGCAAGCGGTGCGATGGAAACTCCACTGATTCTTGACTAAAGAAAGAAATAACATTGGGAGGAATTTAGAAAAAGGTTACAATACAGTTAATTGCAGAAGGTTTTTGTAGACGGAAAAACTATTATAGTAGGCCCTGGCTGGAATTTCCAGTCGGAAGACCAACAGTTGCATTTTTCTGCTCCTGGTTAAGTCTTATAAAACTTACACTCGAATTTTCCATCTACAAAAACTTCTGCAACTATAGTTCTATCGAGTGAGGTGCCCACACATTTAAAAATACAGTTAGCCTAAAGATTCTTCCAGGATATGAACTTCGGTGTGATGATGTTATCTTGGTATTTAGTATGAAACTTGATGTCTAATTCTGTTTCCTTTGCTCTGCAATGTAGCATTTTGTAGCAGCAATACGTGACGAAATTAGACATAAATACCAAGATCATCACACGGAAGATCATACACTGGAAGAAAACGTTCCCCCTCAAATGGTGTCATTTTGGTTGGATTGGCGACAGGATTAAATGAACTATACGCTTTAGGCATACACGAAGTACTTGCCCCAAGATGCACAAAACAAACAATTGTTAAGCAGCTACAAACCTTGATTCCGATGGTGGGGTATAATGTGAATTTGGTGAAAATCCTTTGGACCGATCGTGGGCTCGTAATGCTTCTTCTGTCAGCGGCATTGCGATGCTCGGGGAGACTGCGCTAGACAACGGCCGAGTTATCTACAATGGGGTGCAACATTTTTTCATAAATATCATTCCCACCTCTCATTTCGTCTCGAAAGGGCTCTAATTGCACTCAACTATTTAATATAACTGGGTAGCGTACGATAAATTCTCAAATGTGGTAGTCCAGTGTAGGTAGTATTCAATAATAAGCTGCAGTTGTTTGTGTCTATCCCAAAAAGATTTAAAACACTTCCTTCAACATGTAAGTACAGCCCTTCCTTCAACATGCAAGTATATCCCTTTTTTCAACATGTACTGTAAATATAGCCCTTTCTTCAACATGTAAGTGTGGCCCTTCTTCCATCAACATGTAAGTACACCCCTTTTTTCAACATGTAATGTAAGTATAGCCCTTCCTTCAACATGTAAGTATACCGCGTATTTACTCGATTGAGCGCCGCCACCGATTGAGCGCCGCCCCGAATGAGCGCCGCATTTGAGATCAAATTTTTTCAAAGAGCGTCGCCCCCGAATGAGCGCCGCACTAAACAGTATAACAACTTACCGCCGTCAACAAGACATTTAAAACATGTTTATTTTATTGTTAAAAGTTCTTGTTATAATTCAAAAATAAAAGTTTTTTTTAAAGAGCGCCGCTCATGATTGAACGCCGCCCCCGAATGAGGGCCGCATCTGAAGCTCAGAAAATTTAAAGAGCGCCGCGGCGCTCAAAAACGAGTTAATACGGTAGCCCTTTCTTCAACATGTAAGTACAGCCCTTCCTTCCGCATGTAAGTACAGCCCTAGCCTTCCAGACGATTCGCGATAGAAACCGTGGTCGAACCTTTCCTCAGGTAGATTACTGAGGTAAATTACGACACCTACTTCGTCATCCTCATCAGAAGTATCCACTCTATAAGCAGCAATGATATCAGGTTCAGAACCAGATAATGGACTATGACGTAATCTTGAATCACCAGGTTCAGGTGTTGTATATTCTCCTGATGGTAAGTCCCAACCAAAACCACTTATATCATCATCATGTTCATCTACTTCATCATCCAGGAAATCAAAGCCAGTGAACACTCCGATTAACTGCAACAAGATATAACGATGGTTAATAAGTGCAATGCTAAAGCCTAAATGTTTTTCGTGAATGGTGATTATAGCTTCGTTCACATTAGAAACCTATGCTTGATCTAAGAACGTCCGAAATCAGTCAGTCCTGTGGTGCGCATGGACTGACCTAAGACTGATCTAGGACCGACCTCTGAGACCAAATTTCAGGCCACGCATTTGATTCTGGTGATTAAGATGCTAATACACGTAAAAACGCTCAGGTTGTTGCAATGTTCATGAAAACAGGATTGAACAATGTTTTGCTGCCCACATTGTTCACAGTTGTCAACAATGTTGAACAATATTGTTACACCCGATTCAGGCTCAACAACATTGTTCAATATTGTTGACAAGTGTGAACAACGTGGGCAGCAAAACATTGTTCAATCCTGTTAAGCAGAGGGGCTCGGCGGTTTTTTGCCGGGTAGGGGAGGTGCAGCGGTCTGACATGCATGTAATGTATATAATGTACTTAGTATCAATATTGTATTTTGACTGTATGACCACTACGTTTGCACTAAAAGGCTAATTGACACAGAAATAAATTATTATTAATATCACTTTCATACTTTCTCAATTTTAAAGTGAAGACCTAAAACAAACAACCCAAGCTGAATGCCACTCCACTCGTCCTCTCGCTAGTTTATCTGTAAGAACATGTTGTTGGGTAAGTGCAAGGTAAGTGCAAAACGATCTCCGGGGGAGATGCGCACCTCCCCTAAAAATCCAGCCTTAATTTGAGGTAGCCTAAAATACAGATCATGGATCAGTCCTACTAGCTTCGTAGTGATGGAGTGAAAATCAAAAGTCTAACCCAGAGTAGCTGCTGTACCCTACCTGTTAAGCATAGTTATATTGCTCTCTCTCCATACTATCTCCTTCAACATTAGATTTCATCAAAGGATGAATGATCACTACCAGGTTGTTTCCTGCCCTGATATTATACCATATATAACATAAATAGCGTACCTGTTGTGCCTCATTAGCTTGTTCTCCCTCCTTACTATCTCCTTCGACATATTGATTGTCATCTGAAGATGAATGATCACTACCAGCTTGTTTTTCAATCATCAAATCACTTGATGAACTAAACACTACTGACGGACTTTGTTTTAATCCAATATGATGACCACATACATGAAGCACGCTCACGAGCCGTTCCTTGGTACGACGCTATAGAGAAAGCAAGATCGACAATTTCCATATTAAATACAGAGATTTTCCACCTTAAAGGAATACCGAATGGTTTTCGGTGCAGGATTGATTCATGCACGAGGGATGTCGCGAGACTTTCGGAAAGCCTAAAAATACTCGAGCCGCAGGCGAGTGTATTTTTACGCTTTCCGAAAATCGGGCAACATCCCAAGTGCATGGATCACGCTATCCTGCTTGGAAAACCATTTGGTAATTGTTTTATAAAATAACTACAGTGAAACAATGACATTTTGAGAATCCCACGAAAATCCCGCGAAGGCATTTTAATTCCTCGTGCAGGATAGCCTGATCCTGCCGGCTATTGACCAATCAAATTGCGTGTTTCACTGTAGTTATTATATAATAAACTATCCTTAATTCTCAAAATCCTAATAATTGTAACCCTCCTTTGTACAACGATATGAAGAAAGTCAGATCATAACATTCGGTCAATTTCCATGTTACTATACCCAGCGATTCTATACCCTTCAATTGTAACTATTCCTTACAATCTTAATGTCAGTCCTAATCTTTTGTAGCGTCTGAAATTCAGGCAAAATCTTTTATCCCTTCATAGGAATAAACATGGTTAAACAAACCAAAGCAATTATGTGTATTGCCATGCAAACACAAAAATCTCGAACAGTCGGCGCCACTGTAGGTAGCGACTATATAAGACGAGAGAGATACAACTACCTGAAAAATATATGCAGAACTTGCACGTTTGGAGCGAAAGCGCTCTGCTGCACTAGGAAATTTACTTTTCAGAAAAGTTTTGTGATATAGAGATACCAGAAGACATTCCAGAAGACATTCCAGAAGACAAGTGGACATTTTAGAACTGTGCACTTTTTTTAATTTATCCACCCTGTTACACGCGTAAAAACGCTCTGGTTGATGCAATACTGATGAAAACAGGATTGAACAATGCTTTGCTGCCCACATTGTTCACAGCTGTCAACAATGTTGAACAATGTTGTTACACCCGATTCAGGCTCGACAATATTGTGTGAACAACGTGGGCAGCAAAACATTGTTCAGTCCTGTTGGGCAACGGGCTCGGCGTTTTTTTGCCGTGTAGAGGTGTAATTACCTGAGATAACTGCGGTCGTTTCCATCCAGATACTTCATTTAAGCCTTTCTGGGGCACATCTTGATTTTCTTGAGGTGATACCAGTGTGGTTGAAACATCAAAAGTGAAATCGAGTGTTTTCCCCGGAAGTTCCTGTCGTGCTACAGCACTCTGATTTAGTGACCAAGTACTACCAAACATCAGACTTGATGCACGCTGAACTGGGATTTCTAACTCAGAACAACTCGAGACCGCTAGTTTTAATACGTTCAATGATTCCTTCCACAGATCATCCTGAATATTAAACAGTATAAATAGTATACCAATAGGCTTTATTTAATTTTTTAAGCTTGAACAACCATCGCATGCAGGTGCTGTTCCCTATATACCTCACGAGACAATGGATGGCACTTGCCTGCAGCTACCTCGCTCGCTCGGCAGCATGTATATATGCCAAAATCAGGATTTATCTCACTCGACAGAACTAAATGTTGTAGGGTTTTTGTAGATGGAAATCTCGAGTATAAATTTTAATAACAATATATAGACCAGCCTGCAGGCTGATAATTGCATGAATACAATGATCATAGACAACTACATGTTTGGTTGCCCATTGTTTGGCAACTATACATGCGAGTAGATTCGCCTAAAACTAAGCTGCCCATTTTGAATTATTATCTCTCAGGTTGTTGAGCAATACTTAAAATGTAAAGTCAACTTTCTAACATTTCATTGTTTCAATACATGAGAAAGATGAGTAAGATCCAGTAAGAAGTAAATTTTACTCTGGCTTAGTAATTTTCATTCTTTACTAGTAACTCTTGATGGTACAGTAGTAGGTTGTAATACCAATATAACCACCAAACATATAATAAATATTTCCACTAGTAGTTACCTTTATATGTTTTGATATGACTTTCAATGTAGGTATAAGAATATGTCTTGTACTTGAAAGTTTGAAATCAATATGTCTCATTAAAGCACAGGTGATATTCAATACGGCTGTCTGGTTTATTTGTGGTCCTCGTTCAAGCAACTGTGAAAAGATTAGTATTAACAGATGAAATGACACTCTTCAAATGACAACAAACACAGATATTTGTATACACGTGCCTTTCACTTTCGATTCCTCCAGAGGGCACGTTGTCTAATTTCTACAATTTCACACTTCAAGTGAGAAGAATACTTCCAGTATACCTTTACTAAATAGTACAGTTTTTCTCCTGGTATTCCGGGCTCCTCCTGTGTAAAAACCTGTCATTATAGGGTAATTTTGGGATATTTATAGTACTGTACTTCGAGGTCTGTAAACAATCCGATGCAGTGCATACAAATTTTCCACTCCGAGGTCAAATTATTATCATACGAAAACATGTTTCAATCAAATTTGTATCCAAAACAGTGAGTACTACATGCAAGAAATCAGTATATGGACTCAAAGATACGTACATATTGTACACATCTAACAACGAACACCGCTAATTTCGACGTGATCAGCAAAAGAAGTTTAGAAACGCTAGAACATACCTCCGTAAGAAACGCCAATAAAGTACGAATACTTTGGCGATAAAATTCATAAATATATCGGCATACACCTTCCGTCCACATCTGTACAGTTTTATGATAAGTGCGCTGATTGTACATTGCAAACAGTTTACCAAACCCAAGCATGTTGTTGTCCACGCAAACCTAGAACATGAACAAAAAATAAATACAATAATCGCACGTCTATCAGTGCCAAGTCGTTGTTTTGTTTGTGTTGTTGTTGTTGTTGTTGTTGTTGTTGTTGTTGCATAATTGAACGATTATCAAATGATTACCAACAACAAGAAGGGGTGAAATTAATGTAGGTTGATGCAATAACCATGAGGGCGGTTGGCTATGTTCCCTTTGTTTTAGAAGTTACTGAACCTAGTCTGCATCCAACCTCTGACACTCAGATCTGGGGCCCTCGTCGTGACCAAAACTTGACAGTAACCTGCAGCTTCGACCCTCTGCCATGAACACAGCATGCAGATCTTAGCAACCCTCCGTCATGAACACAACATGCAGATCTTACCGACCCTCCGCCATGAACACAACATGCAGATCTACCGACCCTCCGTCATGAACACAACATTGCAGATCTTAGCGACCCTCCGTCATGAACACAACATGCAGATCTTACCGACTCTCCGTCATGAACACAACATGCAGATCTACCGACCCTCCGCCATGAACACAACATGCAGATCTACCGATCCCTCGTCATGAACACAACATGCAGATCTTACCGACTCTCCGTCATGAACACAACATTGCAGATCTTACCGACCCTCCGTCATGAACACAATATGCGGATCTTACCGACCCTCCGTCATGAACACAACATGCAGATCTACCGACCCTCCGCCATGAACACAACATGCAGATCTACCGATCTTCCGTCATGAACACAACATGCAGATCTTACCGACCCTCCGTCATGAACACAACATGCAGATCTTACCGACCCTCCGCCATGAACACAACATGCAGATCTTACCGACCCTCCGTCATGAACACAACATGCAGATCTACCGACCCTCCGCCATGAACACAACATGCAGATCTTACCGACCTTCCGTCATGAACACAACATGCAGATC